CCCGCTGCTTGGAGCTGAGGCTTTACAAAAAACTGCCCAATATCATGAGAAAACTGGGAGACTTGGAAGCGTAGACGGAGCAGTTCCACCAGCCAAGAAGCACACACAGACTAAGTGGCATGCCCAAGGTCACAGCAGATATCTGTGGCAAGATGGCAATTGAACCTAGCTTTCCCTTAGGTGCCAGGTGGCAAAATCGAGCCCTTATTCAGACATTGATGAGGCCTGGTGATGTATAAAACTAGCGTAAAGGAGGGGGGGATATCAGACCCCAGAATGAATGTAATTTTTCCCCATCCAAGATTTGTTGTAATTGATATTGAAACATCTCCTTGCAGCACAGTTTGCAACCCCACAAACACAACAGCCTGGTGCCAATGTCTGCAAAACAGGAACTGAAACTGACTAGAAACAGGAAGTGCAACTAACCAGGTTCATTTCACTGTCTCAAGTAACAGGAGCCAAGTAGTTCAGTGGTTAGGGAGCTAGCCTAGCCTTCAGGAGACCTCAGTCCCATGCCTTGCTCTGCCACAGGCTCCCTGTGGGACCTTGACCAAATCACTTCATCTCTCTCTGTGCTTCAGTTCCCTTATATGTACAGCAGAGCTGATTGCCCTGCCTCCTGGCGCTGGGGTGAATATAAATATGTTAAAGACAATGAGGTGTTCAGAAGAACGGCCATACTGGGTCAGACCACAGGCTGGATAAGTCCCTGCAGTAGAAGTGGGAGGCGGAAATAAATGAGGTGTTCACCCATGTAATTATCCCGAAAATTAACAATAACACCAGGAAAGACTGATCTGTGCATATACAAGTCTGGATTTAACTATACACTCTGGCTGCTTTGTGCTGCTCCAGCAAGGCGACTAAACCAGTACCAGCGACTCCAGCCTCCTGATTTTAACCTTTGAAATATTTATATAGACCCACCTCCTAGCCCCAGGCGACGAGTTAAGGTGGGGAGCTCCTTGGTGGGGAGCAATATTCCATGCTCAGGTCTATGCCCTTGCTCAGCTTCTGTGATGCCAGCCCCGAGTTGTAAATATGTATCAGTAAAGTCAGGTCCATAACCTCATAGTTGTTCAAAGCCAGAAGGGACCCTTGTGATCATTTAGTCTGAACTCCTGCGTCACACAGATCGGAGAAAGTCCCTGTAATTATCTAAAGAATTAACAAAAGGCTACATTTTCCTTTTGGCCTGAGACTAGGACCCAGGGGTGTGACTCCTAGCCCTACCACCCTGCTCTAACCACGAGACCACAACGGTGGAGGAACGAGGGTGTAGCAGAGAGCTTTAAAAGAGCCCTGAGGTGAGACACAAAGCAAATATTAAGAGAGATGGGACAGCCTCTATGTGAAGGTGAATGCTTGGGATGCTTGGCAATGCAATTACCACCCCAAGTCTATGCATGAGGGGGTCTGATCCCCCCTCCACGCAACTGGGTTCATACATATCCCCCAGCCAAATTGCCAAGACTGCAACCGTGCACATGAATTCTGGGCCCCAGCTGTGCGCATGCATTGCGGTGATGTCTGCGCTTCGCTGTGCACATGCGAGGCTAAGCATCCTGCAACCCAGCTGTGCACATGCCCGTCCAGGAATGCTGATCTACAGCCACGCGAGCGTCCTGCCAGGAGCTCTGTGCTCCAGCTGCATGCAAACATTGTGAGGATTTCTGTCCTCCTAAGCATTCTGCCACCCAGCTGTGCATACGCAGAGCCACAAAATCTGCGATCCAGCAGGGCAGATGCACAGCTCCGAATTCTGCATTCCAGCTGTGCCCAGGCTCCACTAAGCATTCTGCCATCCCAGGTGTGTATGTACTTTGCCACATGCACACTGTACCCACCAGCACGCCTTTACTGTGTCCATCTCTATGTGGCGATTGTTGCCTAGGTCTTTGTGTCCCAGGAGCCACCACCAGGGGCTCTGGGAACAAAAGGATGAAGAAGGAAATCAGAGTGATTCACTGCAGTGTATTTCTGGGATTTCAAGTCACGCAAAATTCAGCACAGCCTGGGAATAAGCAATGGAGTCACCACAGGACCCTCCCTTATTGACTAAATGCTCTATGAGTTAGGAGTTTTTGGATCAATTCTCCGTGGCCCAGAGCTGACATTACAGACTGTAACGGTAACTAGTGAAGTCCATGGCCATGGGGCCTAGGAAATAAAGATAGGGGCGGTGCACAAGAGAGCCGGCTGGAATCTGGAATTCTCATTCCTCCGGAAATTACAAAATCCCCCTCCAAAAAAAAATAATCATTGCAAAACTAAACTAAAAAAGAAATTTCCCACAGAACAGGAATTCTTATTGACCTTTTCTAAATGTCTCTGAGGGGCCCTGAGCTGGCCAGAGACCCGGCAACCAGGCAGTTCAGTGAGCTGAGAGCTGGGGATCTGTAAACTCTGGCATAATCCAGAGCATGGGAGCCCACTCTGCTAAGGAGCAAGGAGCCTGGGAGCTGGGGTTCCCGGGGCTTCCCTGTTCTCAGCTCCCCAACAGCCCACCAGGCAAGATGACAAGACACTTTCCTGGTTCCCATCAGAATTTTGTCAATATTGACATTCTTGTGGACTGTGTCAATTTCGACAAATTGGCCTTTTCCAACAGCAAAGCGTCCTGTCGGAAAATTCCCGACCCGTTCTAATCCCCAGTCCTATTCTTGAGCATCACGCCACCCTCGCACACGCTGCGACATGGGAGGACAGAGAGATACAGCATATCCCATGGGGTGCCTTGCTCTGAGTGAGTCCCATTGCATTGACCAGGTCGTCCCAGCCCTGATACCGATCTGCTGGCAGGACCAGCCTATGGGTGGGCGCCATAGTCAGGAGGGCGTCGTCGGAGTGCTGCAAGCTGGCGGGCCTGGGCTTCCAGAGCGGGGGTGAGTGCAGGTGAGCTCAGGGCTGGCACCCCTGTCCAGCCGGGCAGGGGACGTGTGATGCTGCCCAGAGCTGCCAGATTGGCATGAGCAGTGGCCACACACCCACTCTCCTCTGCTAGGTGGTCAGGAGGTATATGACCAGAGGAGCGCCCAAGCTCAGAAACTCCTTGTGCAGCCTGGCCGGGCTCTAGGGCCAGGAACTGGTCCTCACACCCTGTGCCCCACACTGCTGTTCTCAAAAAAAGGGCGCCAAAATACAAGTTCACCTACACCATTTTCCCTAAGGCCAGCCCTGCCTACTGCCTGACTTTGGGCAAGTCCCTTCCCAAGTCTGTGCCTCTATTTCCCCTCCTTTGTCTTTAGCTATTTACATGGCAAGTTCTTCAGGGCAGGGACCATCTCTTACCCTATGTCAGTGCAGCACCTCGCATAGTAGGGGGCCCAGATCTCAGCTGGCACCTCAAGGTACTGCTGTCAAACAAATAATAATATAACATGGGAGTCATTAGCTCACCATGACGAGGGGAAGGACAGCCCAATGGCAAGGCTGCCTAGCACTTGAGAGACCCAGGTTCAGTTCCTTGCTTTGCCACAGACGCCCTGTGTGACCAGGGGCCTTGCTTGGACTTTACTCTGTGTCTCTGGTCCCCATCTGTACAATGGGGGATAATACCCCTGCCTGACCAGTACAGCAATAGGAACTATATAATGTTATGTGTTGGGTGAAACTGGCGAGCGTTGCTGCCTCCCTTCATTTGAGCTAAAGGTAAGAAACAGTAGCAGCTTCCACGCAAAACACATATCACTACCCAAAACAAAGACAGGAGTGGGTGGCTGAATTTTTTGGTAGAGGTGTCTGTGTGTGTGACAGAGAAGCAGGAAAGAGACCAGAGAGAGAGAAGCAGCAGAAGGCCAAGGATACAGCCAGAACAATCACCCGGGAGTGTGTCCCTGAGAAAAAGCCTAGAGAGGGCTTGTTGGGCAGAGTGCCAGCTGAAAGGGGCTTGGAACTGTCAGCAAAGAAACCATTTCCTGCCGTTTGATTCCTCCTGTGTCCAGGGAAACAGGACTTTTGTGAAACACCTGGCCCTAACATCACTTTCTCCTCCTGATCGAAACGACGTGCATTTTGGCTAAAAGAGGCATCGATAAATAATTGGCTGTATGAAGCTAAGCTGAACGGCTCCAGTGGAAAAGAGGTAAACTCACTCCCAAAGCACCCCAGCTGGGTGTCCTGTTATAGGCACGACATCATCCGAGCAAACTCTCATTGGCTGATGACACCCTGTGAGCTCGGCACAGTTACCCAGCCCACTCCTCGGCTGCTGGCTTTCTCATCAGCCCCAAATGCCATCAAGATGGTGGGGCCTAACCTGGACAGTGGTGCCCTACTCAGGACAGTGAAGGGCAATGGAAATTCTGTGCTCTTCCAGCTGCTCCTGGACAGGATCAAGGGGTTCCTTAGATGGAGGCCTCCCACTAACTCTTCTATGCTGTGTGCCGTCTCAAGGAAAAGCCCGTCTCCCACCCCTGCGATGTGCCGATGCCTGTCGGGCTGCGGCACATGGAGTGCTGGTGGCGGGGGCGGGGGGGCTGTGATGCCCCTGTGCATGGCGTGGGGAGTTTCTAACATGCCCCTGTAATGAAGGAGCCCTGGCAGGCCCGGACAAAGTGGGTATCCCTCCTCTCCTGTCCAATGTACCCTTTTCTTTATCCCTCCACCCAGCTCCATTCCCCTGTACCCCTCCTGTCTGATTTATGCTCTCTCTTTCTCTTCATCCCCCTCACTGTGGTCGCTTTCCTCCTCACCCATCTCATCCCCCCCTTCTCTCCTTCCCATCCTGTTTCCATCTTCCCCCTCCCTTTCTCAAAGGCCACATTCCCTCTGCCCCAGACCTGTCCTCCCTCCCGGCCCCCTGGCCCTGGGCATGGAGTCAAAGCAGGGCAGGAGGCCAATTCCACTGCATCCAGCCAGTGAACCCTGCCCGCTCCTCCCGTCACAATGGAGAAACCCACCCGCAGGTGGGAAAGTTCCCAGCCCTTCAACCTCAAAACACATGGGTCCTCGACTGACTGAGAGACTCCTTCCATTCCCAGGAGCTGCGCACCTACCGTAAATCTCAGCCTGGCTTGGCAGCGGCCCCACCCATGCCGGGAAGATGAGGGGAGTTTACCATGTGGATGGCTTAAAAGCCACTTTGATGCTGATCTGTTGAAAGAAGGAGAGGGGTAAATCTCCACCCTTCTGAAGCCCACGGAACAGTGATGTTACACTAAATAGACAAGGGGGAAGTCCAGGAACCTCTCCTGCCCAGGGAGTGGGTACCGCAGGGTCTGGCTCAGAAGACGCAGGCTATGGAATAGTCCCTCTGAGGATCCCCCGATTCAGCCACTACCCTGTGTTCACAAGACTGATGCTGTAAGTCCCCAGTGAGGATGAGCTCAGCTGGGGATTTCAGGGGAGCTCCTAACAGAGAAGATCCTGGGTTATTTATCCCCCAGAAGGATTCACTGATTTGGGGTGACTCTGCTTTTGGGGTGCCTGGTTTCTCAGAGGCGCTCGACATCTCCACGCATCTGTCCCCTGGGCTTAGGGCCCACAACTGGGAATTATGGCCTAGTTGAGGGTGGTATTGGTTGCGGGGGGCGGGGGCATGTTGAGTCATGGTGCCTCCTGAGGAAAGAGAGCCCTTACAGGTCCAGGCCCCATTTACATGATCGTTTACAATAAATAATTCACACGCACGTTAACACCTAATATCTCATTAAGTGTTAATGTGACCACAGTAGAGAAATCAAAACAGTAAATCTAGCCAGCTACTGAAGCTCGGGAAATATTGAACACAAGAGAGGAAACCTACAGAGATCTGGGGTGCCAGATGTAGAGGGCAGAAGGAGAACGTGGGCAGCTTTACACACCCGTCACCGTTGGGTGGGGGGCTTGTCACAATTTGGTGTGGGGGACATTCATAGGTTGGCACCCACATACCACCCTGGGCTTTATATCTCATCCCTTGAGACGGCTGTGATTAACAGTTATTTATTATCAACCAAGGCGCCTGGACATGAGCCGACTTGGTGGTTCCCCCGGCTCGAGTTCACATGGATTTGACACCGAATGTCCCCACCTGGGGGCTCCCTAAAACCTGGCCCGGCCTCAGGGGTTCCTCCCCAGAAGTACAGCACCCCCTAGTGCCAGGCTGAGAGCGACTGGTTCCTTGTTGATTCAGTGGGAAGAGGCACCCTAGGCAGGAATTCATTTGGCTAGCAATCTGGAAACCCTGGGGCGAATTCGGGGCTACCTTGCGGCTTCTTCCATCTCAGCTGACTGCATGGCCCTCTCTGCGCTGCAGCAGCGAGGCCTGGGGGGACCACAGTGGCTACAATAAGAGGAAAAGCGCCCCCTGGCTGAACCCCCAACATAACTCCCTGCACTGGGGCACGGGTTCAGTACAGACTGGGAGAGGAGAGCACCCCCTACTGAGCCATCCAAACCACTTGCCAGGCATCCTGGCTCTCTCATCCAAATAACTGGCCTGACTCTACTTATCTGGTGAGAGCTGTTAATTAGCCATTCTCTTGTTAATGAATGCACAGGAGGCTTTGCCTTGTAGTTCATTAACTGCTAATTAATCTCCCTCTTTTTTTCTCCATCAGCCATTCATTCTCCCTCTCTCTCCCAAAGGGTTGCTGGGAGCCCAGAAATCAGCTTAGTTTCAGCATTTCCTGACCTGCTGGTGAAGAACTTGACCCCAAGTGTGAACTGGTGGGAAATTTCACCCCAGGACAAGGCACCCCAGTAATTCCCTGTGTTGCTAACGATCACTTGCTAATAGGACCCTCCACTGGACAGCAGGCTAAAGCAGAGGCACTTTCAATTAAGGCCACTTGTTGAGCTAATTGAGTCATAAATAGCAGGCAATTAAAGGGGTTGTTTGTAATTAAATGATCCTGGGAAGAGGTTAAAATATAACAAGATTTTGGAGGAAAATCTAAACCTAAAATGAAAGAGTCACACTCCAGCACTTCGAGGAAGTTTCCATACAACACAGTGTGATGTTACGAGCCAGGATGTGGTACTGATCATCGCTGCCCTCTGCTGGAAGGAATAAGAAATACTGATCTGTGGGCCCTAGGCCCTCTATTGCTAGCAGTTGAGGGAGATTCTCAATCAACTCAAGTGGCTTCTGGAGCAGGAAGACCTAAGCATGCAATCCAGGTCATCTATGAGAGGTCTAGTTGGCCACCAGCTTATTCTATTTTCTGCTCCCTGCTTCCTCTTTACCCCCATCCCCAGCTTTGGGCACATGACACACTAATGACCCAATACCTGAACAAAACTATGTTATTCCTGTGCCCCAGCAGGGAGCACTGTGGCTGGCAGAGAAGCGTTAGCCCAGATTCATCTCTATAGGTGTATATTACAGAGATCCCACCCCCATTGTCCCAGGTGCTGCACAGACTCATGGTAAGAGATTGTCTCTGCCCTGGGAAGCTATATAGACCAGAAGGCATTGGTGGTGGGAAAGAGAGGTGAAATGATTTGCCAGAGGTCACCCAGCTGGTCAGTGGCAATTCCGGTGGGTTGAATCCAACTCCAATACCATGCAGGCTCTGGCTTAGCTCCTTTGTGCCTTTCCTTGCAATCATACATTTTAGAGCAATCTATTAAGAGCAGAGCTATTTCTATTAATCATTTAATTCTTCATAAATTATTTATAAATGTCACCTCCATTCCCGTTGTCACCAGTAAAGCACAGAACCTGGATTTTTTAATATAACCTTTTTTTTTTAATCACCGCTGAGCAGTTGGGCATATTGCAGTGGATGGGAAGAAGGTGTTTTCTGCTGGAAAAAGGAGCTGGGAGGCTGGATTCCTGGGTTCTCTTCCCTGGTTGTTGGGTCTAACAGTTAGAGAGGGAGGCAGGGCTCCTGGGTTCTAGTTTCAGTAGAGGAGCACAGCCTAGAAGCTAGCACAGGAGAGTGGCAGTCAGGACACCTGGGTCCTTTGCCTCAGTGGCAAAGGGAGGGTCTAGTGGCCAGAGCAGGGGGAGTGGCCTGCCCCTCCCTGACCATCTTGGGGAACAGACCCTCTAGAGCAGCGGCTCGCAACCTTTCCAGATGACTGTGCCCCTTTCAGGAGTCTGATTTGTCTTGCGAACCCCCAAGTTTCATCTCACTTAAAAACCACTTGCTTCCAAAATCAGACGTAAAAATACAAGTGTCACAGCCACACTAGTACTGACAAACTGCTTCCTTTCTCATTTTTACCATCTAATTATCAAATAAATCAATCGGAATATAAGTATTGTACTTACATTTCAGTGTATAGTATATACAGCAGTATAAACAAGTCACTGTCTGTATGAAATTTTAGTTAGTACTGGCTTCGCTGGTGCTTTTTCTGTAGCCTGTTGTAAAACCAGGCAAATGTCTAGAGGAGCTGATGTACCCCCTGGAAGACCTCTGCGTAGTCTAGAGGTACGTGTCCCTCTGGGTGAGGACCACTGCTTTAGAGCACTTGGCCCGGCAACTGCTTGTGCCAGGAAAGTGAGCTCTGGCCTGCAGGGGCTGATGGCAGCGAGAAGCCAAAGTTTCACTCAGCTGCCATAGGGAGACAATTCCTTCATGGGGCAGTGGCCCAGGGACAATCCCCGTTGACCCTGGGCAGGGAGAGCAGCAGAGCCCGTGGTTTATGGGGCAGCAGCGGGTCCCCTGGCTTTTCACGTCTGGAGATCTGGGTCTGGAGTCAGCGCGGGTCCCAAACAAAGCAGGGTTGTGCATCTCCCTCAAGGGCACCAGAACCACGGCACAATCCGCAACTGCTTCTCAGGAGGAGGCCCACGGCTGGACTCGCAGAGACCTGCAGGCTGGGATTGAGGGGCATTGGTGGAGCTGTATGTGGGGAGCTCAGGGCTGGGATAGCAGGGGGCTGCGGGGCAGGTTGAGTGAAAGAAGTTATTTCTATGCCATTAAAAGGAAGCTCCGGGCAAACTCCAGCACAAGCTCCTGCAGCCACCGGGCGCAGCTGTGAACAGGCAGGGCCCTGCAGCCCCCGAGCTGGGGGGCACGGCACTCTTCTCTTCTTCCCTTTCACTTGCGAGAGAGCTGCACAGCTCGCAGCTCCTCCGGGACAGAACACAACAGCGCCAGGACCAAGCCAAATGGGTAAGCGCTGTGTAATGGGAAAGCCTGGCCTGGTCCCAATGCAACCGGAAGCGCTCGCAGCTTCGATGCAACTGTAAATCTCCAAGGACAGCTGGATCCCGTCCAGGGGGATTCCTGTGCAGCATCAGGGAGCCACCGCCAATCAGACCTACCGCGGGCCGAACCCTGAGTGAGGCTGGTGGGCGTTCCAGCAGGGAGGGGTCCTGCCTCCGTATCTTTGTGCTGCTGCTTATCTTGATGGGACACCAAGCTCTCATTCGGAGACATGCCCGACACATGCGCTCGTGGCAGGCGAAAATGTTATGCCTGGCGGGTTAGCCGCTGGGTCAACGGGGCCCATGCCCAGGGGCCCCGGCCAATTGCCCCCCCCCTTGCCCCGACCCGCTCCACCCGCCCGCCCGGTGCTCCCGCTGGGGAGTGGGGGAAACCCCTGCACCCCAACCCCACTTCCCTGGCAGCAGCACCAGCAAGGGGGCAGGGACACTGCAAGCAGAAGGGGTGAGGAGGGGCCCCCCACATGCTCTGGCCCAGAGCCCCACAAAACCCAAATTCACCTCTGCTGGTATGATAGCAGAACATAGATCAGATCATTAAACATGTGGAAATAGGGGATAAGTTGGCTAATGTGTGCGCTGCCCTCTACTGAATGGAATCAGAACTTCTGTGTGTCCTAGGCCCCTATCTGGTGAACTGCGAGTGAGGATTTCCCTTTAGCAGCAGTGCCTATCGCCACGGAAGGAGATGGACAGAGAGGGCCTGGATTTCTCCAGCAGCGTTTTCCCAGCAGGAGACGGATTTCCAGGGAAATCAGAACTTTTCTGGAGAAAAAAACCTTTGAAAATTTTGGAGAGTTTTTGGAGGAAAAATTTGAGAAACATGAAAATGTTTAATTTCCATCCAAATGCTTAGACTTTCCCCACCCAGCTTGAGCTCTCCGCTCCATTCCCAGAGCTGCCGGGACGCTCCGAGAGGTGGAAAGCAGCTGGGAACCCATTTTGTGGCAATATCTTGTCCTCTTCGTTATTTCATGAACCCTCCCAT